GAGGGGTCCCCGCGACCTCGGTCGGGTCCCATCGAGGTTTGGGGGTCCCCGCTCCCGGGCCGGGGCCCTTCAGGGGGGCACGGCCCTCATGAGGGGAAGACGCCCCTCTGTGCTCGCGCCAGCCAATCACAGCCCGAGCTCCGCCGACGGACAGGCGGTACAGCCAATCCAACGCACAGCACCACCCCACGCCTCACACGCGACCAATCCACGCGCTCCGTGCCGCGCTGAGCCCACCAAACAGCCGCAACAACAACCAATAGCAAACCAGTAAGCTTCGCGCAGAGAGGGCATCGCCCCGCCCGGTCCCGCCCGGTGTGCGGCTGAGGCGCGGCCGGTCCCTCCTTACCTCGTGCGAGACGCACTCGAGCGAGCGGAGCTCGCTACAATAGCGGCAGAAGTAGAGCTGCGGTAGCGGGGCCCGGAGCTCCTTCTCGCCGCGAACCAGGTACAGCACCCGCTCCGATTGCAGCAGCGACGCCATCTTGCGAGCGAGCGAGCGGGCTCCGGCGCGCCGCCGCCACCTGACGCCACCGCGCCGCCGTCTGACGTCACCACGCCGGCCTGACCACGTGACGCCGCGGGGCACGCAATGGGGCTGGGACGGAGCTTCAGTCGCTCCCGGTGCCCCCGGTGCCCCCCGTGCCGTGGGCCGGGACGTTTTCCGCGCATCCCGGAACTACGGGGCCGTCCAGCCTGCACTTAGACTGCCTGGGGTGGGGCAGCCGCAGCTGGTCTGTGTCAGTGCCTCACCACCCTCACCGCGAAGGATTTCTTTCCAATATCGCATCTGTCCCTGCCCTCTGGCAGTGGGAAGCAGTTCCATCTTATCCTGTCACTCCGAGCCATTGTCCTAAGTCCCTTTCCAGCTCTCTCAGGGCCCCTTTAGACACTCGAAGGGGTTCTGAGGTCTCCCGGAGCCTTGCCTTCTCCAGGTGAACATCCCCAGTTTTCCCATTCTGCCTCTAGAGCAGAGGGGCTCAGCCCTTGAAACGGCTCCATTGCCTCCTCTGGGGTCACTGCAGCAGTTCCGTGTCTTTCTTACGCTGGGGGCCCGGAGCTGGACACAGCTCCAGGTGGGTCTCACGAGAGCAGAGCAGCGGGGGTGATCCTTTCACAGCCCAAAGGTGGTTTCTCTTCAGTCTCGTGTGCACTAAGACAGAATCCTGACAAGAATGAACATTCCCGTGGGTGGGATCAGCAGGAAAGCACGAGGTCTGTGGATGCTCTGCTGTGTGCACAGAGAGCAGATCTCGCATCAGCAAATCACTGCCAGTTTGCTGCTGGATACCCCAAACAAGCACCACTGCCAGCCAGGCCCGTGGCGTGAATCGCCCATGCTCACCCCGCTCTCCATCCCCACACAGTGCCTGCACTCAGTCCCTGCCCTCTGCCCGCTGCTTGCAGCTCCACAGGAAAGCCCTGTCCGTGAGGATCTGCCGCTGCTCGCGATAAAAACCCCACATGCTTTTTATCCTCCTGCAGCAGCTGGAGGGGAGCGCTGCTGGGAGGGCAGGGAGGAGGCGCCTGTGCACTGCTCCCGGCAGAGCTGCGTGTCAGGGGTGTCTTGAGAGCATGTGGTAGGGCTTTCCACCACCAGAATTCCAACAGGTTTCCCTGGGAAAAGGCAGGAGGGAATGGTGCAGAGCGTGGCTCCTAGTGTGAGTGACACTGAGCTTGTGACCCAGAAGGAATGTGGGAGCATCCCGCCTTGCTTTTGCAATTCAGCATCACCAACAGAGTGGAATACGTAGCTGTGGAAAGGGGTTTTAACGCTTAAAGTGCTGCGGAAATAACATGCACAGCTACATGGTGGTCTTTCATGATAGAAAGAAAGAGTCAAGTTTATTCAGAAACACACTTGGTTTAATAGCATGACTCGCAGTTCCAAGAGAAGAGAAAAGATGATTGGTTCAGAGAGAAGACACCCCATTCCCAGGGCCTGGTGACCTGCCACAATAGGTGTTGCATCTTTGTTATTAATTCCTTATTATTTTGACCCTGGGAGAAATTCTCCCTAGCCTTGAGCTGGACCAGTTTATCGGCTGGGAACAGAGCTGAAAAGCTCCAGCCTGGAATACTTTTCAGGCTGTAATTTTCGTACTTTCTCTATATGTGTCCCTACAGGAATATTCCACTGGGCAGCAGAAAAACCGTTCCCAGCCGGCGGGCTGAGATCTGTCCCCTTCCTGGCGCTGCTCTCTGCCCGTGTCTCTGTAAATCACCCTGCCCGAATCCCTGGGGACTGCGGGCACCTCGCTGCGGGTGGCTATGGAGGCTCTGCGTGCACTTGCCCTGGGCCTCGGGGGCAAGTGGTTGCCCGTGAACCCTGCTGAGGCAGGATGGGGACGGGCTAGGGAAGACCCTTTGTTCAGGACTGTGAAGTGAAATGTCCCTCCGGTTCCTCCCTGAGACCTTCAGGCTGAGCTCCAGAAGGTCTCCCCCAGTGGAATCCCATTCTGGACGGGATAAGTTGGAGTGTGTTCTTATTTTATCCTGGTGTAGAAGAAACGTCTTTCCGTACCGTGCCGTGCCTTGCCTTTCCGTCCTTCTTTCCTTCCTTCCCCTTCCTTCTATCCCCTTGCCCTTCTTCTCCTCCCCTGCCGTCCTCCGCAGGCCGGGCGGGGCCAGGCGGAGTCTTTCTCGCCCGGCGGGATCTGCCGCTGCTGTCGCGTTTGACAGGATCTGGAGCCGGATTCGGAGTGGGTGCCGGAGCCTGGCAGCGCTGTAGGTAAGAGGATGCAGGCGGGACGGGAAGGGCAGAGACAGGGCACAGACGGGGCGCAGACAGGGTACGGGGAGGACAGGCAGGGCATAGGCAGGACAGACGGGGCACGGGCAGGATAGGCAGGGCAGGCAGAGCAGGGCAGGACAGGCAGGGCAGGACAGGCAGGGCACTGGCAGCTGCCGCCTCTTCCCCACGGAAGTGTGTCCCCCAGCCCCGAGGTGCCGGGGCAGGACAAGGGCAAAGCCGCGGTCCCCGTGGAGGGGGTCCCCGCTCCCCGGCCCCTCCGTCCCCTTCAGCTGATGGATAACTCGTGACTCAGCACGAGGTGTGGGTGGGGAGGACACACACGAGGCTCCCCAGAAACGAGGGGGCTCCTGACTGACCTGACCTTTCCGTTTCCCCCCGTGTTGATACAGCGCAGAGTGACCAGCAGGACACCCGATTGTGGCTTTCTTTTATCACCTCCTGTAACAAACAGTAGCAATTAATAGGGAAGATTTCCCCTGAGCTTTTATCCAGTGCCTTTCAAAGCGTGCTGTATATCCTGTGAGTAATTGAAGGAGCCTTTAGCAAAGGCTCTGGAAGGAGCCCAAGGTGAAAGCTGGACCTGGCCACAGGGGGTGTCCCTGGAGAGAGCAACAGGGGACTTCGGGGAGACAATAAATAGGGGAAGCATGGAGGGAGCTGCCCCACCACCCCTCTGCCTTTCCATTGCAGGATGGACCTCCCTCACCTCACAAGTCCTACCGACCTCCCCAAGCACATCCTGGATATCTGGGTCATCGTCTTGATCATCCTGGCCACCATCCTCATCATGACAGCGCTGGTGCTGTGTCCAGCCACTGCTGTCATCATCTACCGAGTACGAACGCACCCCACACACAACGGCATCGTCTGAGCCACGGGCAGTGGGGGAAGGCCGGCTCGCTGGGCTGGGGGCTACAGCCATGGGACCCTGTGCCAGGGACCTTGATGGGGCACCTTGAGAGCTGGAGCCTGGGCAGGAGCTGGG